TCAAAAATATTAAATCAAAGCCACAGTTAATAAAAAAAAAATTATATGTGAGAAACCGTAAGGAGTATAATTTGCCCAATATTACATTAAACCCTATGAAAAATTATATTTGACATCCTTATGAGATAAATCAAATTTTTAACAATTTTGTTTCAGAAGAAGAACCATCATCTACTTTGAGAAATTCTCCAAATTACAGTGTTTACCTTCCTATACCATTTGCAGTCCTTATCTGTCTTACCCTCATGACTTGTTTCGCAATAAGACGAATGAGTATGTATTCATTTTTATTACAATTTCTATCTACAAATATATCATGTTTATTTCTTGTGTTTTATAAAACTATATAACTATAAAACTATATAACTATAAATCTATATAAAGCTTAGTAACTAGCTGAATATCTACTATCATCAATAAAACATATTTATTTATTAACTCAATCATCATGAAATCAAAGTAGGTTTCAAATTTTAGAACAAAGCAGTTGACATGAAAATATGGAATCTGATTTGATGTGATTTTTTTTTCCAGTTTGTCTACCATAGCCTGCAATTTGAATGTTATTTTACCTTTTAAACGTTCCCTTTTTCGCAAATAACCCTATCTGAAGAACATCTGATTCCTCCTTCAGACACTAATCGACATTTTTTTGTTGTTGTTTATCACTTACTTATATGTTTTGTTCACTCGTGATTCTTTCTAGATATATATCATTAAAGTTTTTTTTTTATATTATGCTTTTATATATTATCATTTTGGAGTGTGATGTTAATACTAAGTAATCTCTGAATACCTATTAATTCACACGAATAACTGAATGTTTTTCACTGTTTTAGCCCTACATTTTACATTTCACATCTAATAACATGTAGGACTAAATATGCTTATTTTACATTTTGACTGCAATCTTTCAGTTTAGTTAAAAAAACTCGTATCAAGTTCTGTAGCCCATGGATCAGCGCAGCTAAGAGGAATAGGCCTTGACAGAGCCAGGAGGTAGGCATAGCAGCCACAGGAAGTTAGTGACAGCTAGCATGCTGGGTAGGGCAGAACAATAAGGGGAGTATTTATACCAGCCATTATATGAAGTGGCCATTTTAACTGAACCTAAGTTTACCTGTCAGTTGTCCCTTGGTTAGGTTAGTTGATTTCCCATTTTTCACAGCGGCGGGGAATGGCCTGGTTAAATCGGAGGGTAGATGGAGGAGAAAGTGGGTATCCTGAGGTTTAGTGTGGATTGGGCAGTGTTGCACGTGGTTGGTAGGTTTGAGCCCATCGGTGGCTCCGAACCTGGGGGTGTGGTGGTGTCTTGGTACACCCTACACTGGAACTAGTGGGTAGCGGTGTCTTGGTACACCCCTACAATGGATATAGTGGGTAGCGGTGTCTTGCTACACCCCTACAATGGATATGGTGGGTAGCGGTGTCTTGGTACACCCCTATAATCGATATGGTGGGTAGCGGTGTCTTGGTACACCCCTACAATCGATATGGTGGGTAGCGGTGTCTCGGTACACCCCTACAATTTAACCTGGTGGAAATGTGGTCATATTGGGCGGCCAGTTTCTGTGTTAACATGTTATTTAGATTGTTATCTATTGTTATTATTGTGGGGTCATTGCTAGGGGTATGTTATGTATATGGGGGGATGTTAACTTTAATAAGATTTGTTGGCAATGACCCCATTTGTTATTCCTTAATTATTTTATTAATAATTTAATAAAGCTGTGGACTTAATATTTCCAACAGTATAACCTGTGTCCGTGTTTTAATGGGGGTTTGGGTAAGGTTAACGCATATGCCGGCAAATCCGACTGTGCGCCTGTCATGAGTTATTCAACAATTTCATGGTAGACAACACTTTAAGGTATTTTTAAAACAGGATGCATGAAACATTATATTTTTTAGCTAATAATGTTGGACCTATAAATAGATAAACACACTCATTTGTTGTTTTTCTTATTTTTTTTATTGCAGGAAAGAGAAAAGGAGACAGTATTACAACAACTTATGCAGAGGTTTATATTATCATTACAGTATTATTATTATTATTATTATATTATATTGCTATTTTAGGACTTGATTTAATAAGCTTGTTAAATGATTTATTTTCAGAAATCCCCATTGAAGTCCGGGGAAAATTTTGCTGATAAATCATTTGGAAGATTGTTCTAACAGTATTGTATTTTGAAATGTATTAAATAAAGGCCATAGTTTCTATGTGACATACACATACTTTATAACAAAAGGAGGCATTGATTTAATATTGTTGGATACACTTTCCAAATAATTTAATAATTTTGGATAAAGGTTTAATATTTTTTCAAAATATCAAAAAATGTATCATACAAAATATAGATCAATACATAAATACCTACAAAAATAGTGCAAAATGAATATATTTTAAAATTATTATTATTATAATAAGTGAAAGTGCTATATAATAACATGATTTGTGCATTCGTTTTCAAATGAATTGCAATTCATCCAAATTTTTGGATGACTCCTGTTTCATCCGAAATCCCAAACTTCAATACACCATACAAATGAATTACAAAACAGTTAAAATAAAGAATGAACAAGTCGTTTGTTTTGTAATTCAGAATTTCTCCATGGTGTCACAAAAAAAAAGATGATTGATAAAATAAAAAAGATAATTTATGATTAGGGTACGGCCACTAAATGTTTTATTTGCAGATAAAGTGAGATGTGACTAATAGGGGTAAAGAAAGGAGGAGCAGTACAGAAAACCCCTATATTTATTTATTAAAAAATATATATAATACATAACTATAGATTTTTTTTATTTATTTATTTTTTACTGGTCTCCCTTTCTTCCCTCTTTTGGCTACTCTTTCTCACTTGATCTGTAAACTAATTTTTTACAAAAATGTGTCTCCCAGTGTACTCAAAAAAATATAAACATTATATTTTAGTGACATTTTTTTAAGTCCGAATCCTTTTTCTCTAAACTATTGCACAGAAAACATTTGAGTTAAACTAAAACCAGAATCGTCCAAAACATTTTCTTTAATTTTCAGATGAATTGATTCAGATCAACCAAGTTATTATGCAGTGCACAAGTCTAACAGTTGCAGACTAAAGTGAGAATTATTGAGAATTGAAAGTGAATTTGAAATGTAAGGCCACAAATAGCTGAGCTTGAAGCTGAACATAAACACAGCATACAAATAAAAAAACAGAGAGGGGCCACAAATGGTGCAGATAAAATAAACACCATAAACAGCTAAAAGCCAAATTGCACTTACAAGGGTAGAATAAAATAGACAGAACACATAGAAACCAGGATCCTTGTTTATGTGTTCTGCCTATTTTATTCTACACTTGTGAGTGCACCATTTGTGGTCCCTTTCTGTTTTTTATTTGTGGGTTGTGTTTTTTTTATTTATATTTGTACTTCGAAGATCCAGATGGATCTTCTCACTAACTACCATCATAAGGGTAAACAATAATAGATTTTTACCACTTTTTACCACTTGGTATTTTATATTATTGGGGTATTATCTATTGTTTTATATTGCTGAACTTGAAGCATATCTGACTTGGAGAAATATCCATTTTGGCTATTTGGCCTTACATTTAGAATTCACGTTGAATTCCCAACACTTCTCACCTTAGTTAATAACCCTGAGCCTTGTACTCTCTATCTCCCACCAAACATGAGTGGCAGCAATGACTATGGTGTTCATCCCTAATATATAGACAATTAAAACAGAAGCAGTTACTTTGGCTACTATATCAGTTAACAGTGTATAAATATCTCCCAGCAGCCCAGGATTTGGCAGGACAGGAGCTCAAGCCAGGACTGTTCACTCATTTAAAATGTCATTTATTTTCTTTAATTTTCCTTCGGGAATTATGTTGAGCAAGTGCAGCACAAGAATATCATTAGGTAGTAGGATCAGGGAGCAGAGCCTGTGAAGGAATTCCCACGCTTAGAGCGATATGGAGGAGGGAAGGAAAAAGACACGGATATAGTGTAGTATATTGAGCTCTTAAGTGATGGTAAATGAAGGTAAAGGAATTGCACTTACAATTTTCTGGAGCCTATACTCAGCTCCAGATATGTGCGCCTGAACGGTACAATCCCCACCTATGGATATGTAGATGGTCTTTGGATGTCCTCAAAAAGGGGGTCTCCAGTGGTGGTAGGGTATATCTCCTTTCCAATGGTAGTAGGCCAGTATTCAAATAATTGGTGATATATAAAAAGGACAAAAACACAAAATAGTGCTCTCTGGATGATACAAAATAAAATGATCCTGCTCCCTGATCCTACTACCTACATCCATCGTACCACCAGAAAAGAAGAGACTCTGTTTTTTGGGAAGTTTCAGCAGCCACATACTACAATTGCAAGTACTGATATTCCACCTACCCCTCCATTCAAGAATATCATTAGATGCACCTGTACTGCACAAATATTATTATGGAAAAACTGCCACCACTTTTGAACATTGCTAGTAATTTAACCCGTTATGGACACATGACGGAAATATTCCGTCATGCTTCCGTTTTATTTCATAAGTTGTGTCCTTAAGGGGTTGCTTAGTGTCACTGACATGCCCCCTGCTGGTCTGGCCACCATATTTTTTTATAATTCCTCCCAATATTGGATGGTATGTGCTCATTTTAAATTATATAGATTTTTAATAGAGCTCTTATTTAAACATACTTAAGCATTTAGGATATTGCCTACGTAACATTTTGATTTTGAAAGTGCAATAAATTCAGAATGATACATAAAATGACATGCATATAATGTGTGTCTATCAATATACATCACAGATATAAAGTATGTAATATATTAATATATATAGTATCTGGACTGTAAAAAGGTGCAAAAATACTGGCAAAATCAGTGGATAGACAAGGTGTGATAGTTGTATTTTTTTATTTTTAGTAGTGATGTCCCGAACGGTTCGCCGAACGGTTCGCCGCGGACGGCGAACATATGACCCTGTACCTCACAGTCAGCAGACACATTCCAGCCAATCAGCAGCAGACCCTCCCTCCCAGGCCCTCCCACCTCCTGGACAGCATCCATTGTGAAGCTGCATTCTTAGTGAGCTGTCCAGGAGGTGGGAGAGTCTGGGAGGGAGGGTCTGCTGCTGATTGGCTGGAATGTGTCTGCTGACTGTGAGGTACAGGGTCATATGTTCGCCATCCGTGGCGAACCGTTCGGCGAACCGTTCGGGACATCACTAATTTTTAGTTCTGTGTAAATGTTACTTTTAATATTGCATGTTATTGTTTAATTGTAGGGGCTCTGTGAAATCATGGGCTTCACATCCTAGGAGCATTATTAAAAGGTCCTTGCTGTTTTAGCTGACGAATGATAGACATCAGCAACAGTAGACGCACATATGCATAGGAGCTAATTAACATTACTTCATTAGTTCATTAGTACGATTAATATCTTACCAGGAGAAAGCCCTAAAATTAACATCATTTTTCCTTTGCATTATAATTTAAAAATATGCATATTTTAAATTTGAAAATTGCAACAACAAAAAAATGCAATTCTGAGGAATATAACATGAGATTTTAACGTGGGTGCATGGTGGATGTGGGAAATTGAACCACTGGGACTATAGCTATGTTGATTTGATTGTAATGTAGAGTCATAGCATTGTTTTCCCTTTTTTAAATATGTTTTATGTTACTTTGTAGATTCAGCAACAACCACCACTGAGTGTAAATACATATGAACTGAATTCTTGCCCAGAACATATGAAGAATACAATATATAGTGAAGCTCATGACTTCATGGTAAAATCCCCAAATTATGACATTAATCCTGTGTTTGATAGAAACTAAAAGGGTTTTTCACTAATGTCCGAATGGTTCTGTACCAAAAAAGGCAAAAACAATTCGCTGCTGTACAGGGCCATTCAGACAGCTAATTCCAGACATTGTTGTTGGAATTCAATCATGTATGGATTTGGTAAAACAGGCCCTGAACACGCCTACATTTTGTTCAGATGTTGGATCCAACACTGCCAGATGGCTAAAGTCTAGACTGATTGCTGCAAATCTGGGCCTACAAGGACTATGCCCCACCGCCCTCCTCCAATTTTACTAAGGGATGGGTTTTTGTAGCGACTGAGCAACAATGGCTGCCAAGTCAATAGTTTTTCAATTTTAGGAGACAGGCCTCATATGGAGGTACATTACTTACATTATAAAAACATGGGGGTCTTATTGACTCATAGGATATTTATAGCATAATCATCTATTTATTTTAATATATTAATGGGACTGCTGGGCAACAAGCGCTGGCCAGCCACCACAAAATTAACCATTGCGCTACTGAGGGTCTGCCGAGGATTTTTAACTATTTGTCCGTTAGCAGTGCAAGCATCCTGAAATACTGTACATACAGACTACACGCACAATGACCAGTTCAAATCACTGACGTGGTCATGGTGCTTGGAATAGCCCCTTAATGTTTTAGGGGAAAAAAAGAAACAACTAAATAAAGTGCCTATAAATTGCTTCTATAAAGTAAATGGCCTATTGATAAATGACAATTGTGAGATGATACATAGAATTCTAATAGTATTTTAATGAAAGTGCAATGTAAGAGCCGCGAGCCTTGAGCTATGTTTATGTTGTTGATGTTGCAATGTATCTGTTTTACATATTTTATTTTTTTAGTATATATTCCTTTTTTAATTAAAGCTGTTCTTTTTCTGAAATTCTATAGATGCAGCAACCAGAGACAGAATATGAAAATATGCATGAGATGAATTCAGAATCAGAGCATACAAGTGTAGCAGAAAACTCAGTATATCATGAAATTTGGCCCCATTAAGAAATACATGAAGATGATGTGATTAATGGTGTGTTTTATACAAGCAAGCTCATAACGAGACTGAAAGATAAGAAAGAAAACCATATCGTTTGGCATACAGACCATGGCTTCAATTTACTGTCTGGAGTATTATTGTTATTTTATTATTTATATAGCACCAACATAGTCTGCAGAGCTTTACAACCATAGAACGGGGATAATTAACAACAAATAACTAACATACAAAATACTAACAGAGACAAGAAGGCCATGCTCAAACGTGCTTCCAATCTGTGAGTAGAGACGGAGCCAGATTAAGAGTGCCCAGAGCCCTTGGCTATGTTTCTGTAAGTGATGTGGTTCATGAGTTTGTGTGTGTGCTGCTGAGAGTTGTATGTGTAGTAGCTGAATTGTGTGTGTGTATTGAGCATTGTGTGTATGCTCTCTGCCCCCCCTCCTGCTTATGTTCCATTGTGTTCCAATGAAGTGTGATGTCTGGTGGTCGAGTGCAGGAGTTTCCTGATCAGCACCGGTTTTAGATGTATTGAAATTCAGTCGGATTAAGGATGATCGGCTATTCGGCCCCATTATGTATCTATGAAACACCATACGGACATATATTGAAGTTAGTGACTATATATATATTTATATTCATATACACATACACATTTGTATTGCATATTTGTAATTTATTTTCATCTTTGTGAAGGTAGATGGACAATAGAGTATCTTGACTGCAAGTGGGGTAAGCCTAGCCAGACTCTTGACTCATGGATAAGGCAATGAGTTAAAAGTGACAGAGACAGTGCCAGTGAGATGTGGAGAGGAGCTCGAGAAGCTTGAGCCAGACTCAGAATAAGGTAGTGATCAGAAACATGTAGACCAGGCATGAGGAGAAGCACAGGTGGCTTATCTTTACTTATGCAGACAGCTTAGCCCCGTTCATTAGTGTCATACAGCATGGGGTGACCTACAGTTCAGGAATGTCATATGGCATAAGTTGATCCCTGTTCAGGAGTGTCAAACAGCTTGGGGTTGACCCCCAATCAGGAGTGTAATACAGCAAGACGTGACTCACCTTTCAGGAGTGTAATACAGAAAAAGGTGTCTCACCTTTCAGGAGTGTAATACAGCAAGAGGTGTTTTCTTTTTTTGTGAATAAAAGTTTTATTAAAGTTCAATAGCAATTCACAATTTCTCTCTTGTATATGTCCGCGCAGTGCAGCAGGAAGCAAATCAATAAGAATTAACAATGGTATATCTTGTGTAAATCTTAATATTAGAAATAGCATAGAATGTGATGATTCAATCAGCGTGGAGGGTGTGGCCCTATGTGTGCAGTTATCGGAGGTTATGTCAAAAGGAACAAAACAGCCCAAACCAAACACCCCTTTTGTAGTGCAAAGGGTATGACTACTTGTTAGTTATTAACATTATGATCTCAATGTGCTGTCTCCCGGCCACTTTCCTCATGAACACGATCCAGTATCTACTCTTTGGACACTCACTCGTGAGGGTAACCTGATTGGGAGTAACAGAATAGGTAAGGTAGTGGGGTGTCAACCCCTGTCCTGTCTGGGTCGGTGACCCGAGACCCTCAACTAAGTCTGACTCTGCTCTTTAGTGACTTCTCTCTTGACTCCTGGGTTCCCCCTTGTCGTCCATATTTTAGCAAACTCTGAAAGCCCGTACGGTACACCTCAATCAACCAATGTGTCCTTATGTCTAAATATGTCTGTGAGCGTCGTTGTGCTGTAAATGTCAGGTCTTTCAGTCCGTATAGTTCTTTCATTTTGTCGAGCCATGCCGTTAAGGGAGGCAAGAGTTCATTTCTGTTCAGGAATGTCATAAATCATTGGGTGTAATATTAAAAATGTCAACTAGGAGTCATCATAAGTGCTTACCCAGTTACAAAAAGCAACACAACATACAAAGTGTGTCAAAAACAACAATGCCACTAAAATTAAAGGAAATAAACAATTTACCCTAGTGCTTACCAAAAGTACTTAAAGCAGCACAACACACCAATAAAATGTATTAGATAAACTTAGGAACCACCGTTAAAAGCCTTTATACATTGTCGTCTTCAGTGCACACTGTGTGTGTTGTTTTGCTTTAAGCAATTTTTGTAAGCACTTAGGATAACTCCTACTGGTCATTTTTAATATTAAATATTAAAAGTGACTTTGAACATTTTTGTTATCTACTGATACCAGTATCTTTTCTCATTTATTTTATTTTAATGACCGCAAGATGGCAGTAAAAACATAAACAAGCAAAGAAAACCAATATTAAAAACGTGTGTTGTGCAAAAAAAGATATCACCAACAACCCAGGTTAATCGCCAAACCTGTAAATATAAATTATAACATCAAAAAAAGTGGTGGAGTGTCTAGAAAACAAACTGAATATTTAGGGGAACCACGTACAATGAAGAGGTTTTAAGTAGGACATACCCTCAGAATGTTTAGTTGTTTAAGAATCTGAAACAAAATAGGTCAAATCTCCTGGACACTTTCATAGGGAAATAAAATAGAGCACAATTGTGCAGAGGCAACGCTTTATTGGCAGTATGGTCTATTAGACCTCTGCGGCAACTAAGTAGACTATAGTCTTCCTTCCCTGCAGGTAAGCAGGTCCAGATCCTGATGCAAAACCAAGGAGAGATTCAATTTCATTGCAAGGAGAGCTTCACTGAATATTCATTTTGGTAAGTACTTAGGATGCCTCTTAGTGGTCATTTTGAATATTACATATTAATAGTGACTTTTTAAATTTTTGGTAACTCCTGATAACAGTATTCTGAAAGATGGCTACAAAGTCACGTCTCCATGCCTCCTCTTTAAATTCCCATAAAACATGATGTCAACTTGGAACAGCTGTGCTCTCCACCAGAAAAATGGCCACTGGAATCCCATAATCTGTGACAGGATCACTGCACATGCGCTATGAAAGCAGGAACTTTTTTTTGAGCAGCCCTATAGTGTTATAGTCTATTCTAGAAGTGGGGAGTCGCAACAAACTCAGACAAATAAACAAAAATAAAGGAAAAGGATAACTCAAAAGATACATTTTTATTCTTACTTCTCAGCTGTATAAAATAATAGACATTATAGCTTGAATTTTATATGAAATTATATGAACTATATATAAAAAATCAAAAGTTAAAATATACATAAAAAGTTCACAAATGCAAAAATAATTTTATTGATAACCATAAGAAATAATCCATGTCATTCTATTACACTGTCAAAAATAAAAAACAAACTAAAATGTACAGAAAAAAGCAATAATTCATACCCATATATATTTCACTATCCAGAATAATCAGTCTAATGATTACAACCATAAATAACGTGCTCATAATTTATTTATTTTTATTTCTAAAATATTTTACCAATAAAGTGGTGTTGTGGAGACATTCTCAGGCACTGAGTGTAGTGGTATTATGGAGACAGGCTTGGAGACAAAGGTGAGGCCTGATACAATCCCCCAACAACTGCTTTCTATCATAAGAGGTGTGGAGCTGGACAATAGTGGTCTTGTGAGATGTCTTCCTGGAGCTACTGCTCACAGAGACAGGAGACGTATTTGTAATATTGTTAAGTGAGGCAAAGCAGGAAGGGGAATTGGATGTACTTGTCCATCTAGGGACAAATGGCTTGGCTTGTAATGAGGTTTCAGAGGTAAAGGAAGTTTTTAGTGTTTTTGCCAATGATAAACGGCAGGTTGCTTCCACACTGTCATTCTCCGAAGTTCTGCCTGTGCATAACACAGGTGGATGCGTATTAGGGACTTTAACTTGTGGCTTGGTGAATGGTGTCTGGAGCAAGGATTTGACTTCATTTCTCATGGTAGCTCTGTTTGGAATGGAAATAAGCTGTACAAAAAAGATGGTTTGCATCTTTCTCAAAAGGCAACAAATGTTCTCAGTGAGCAGTTCAAAGGTTTTGCTAGGTAAGGTATGTATTTAAACTAGCGAGGGATGGGGGGCAAAAGGGTGATAAAACATCAATCTAATTGCCCCCCAAAACAAGGACAGAAGGTACCTGTAGCAAGTGTGTTAAACAATGATAAGCTTAGAGTGATGTCTACAAATGCTCGCAGGGGGAGGGGTGGCCCTTTCAACTTGATATGGGGCATCTCTATAGGCATTTAACTTTTATTTATGCTTATCACCATGGTGATGGATTTGTCGGCACGGCATGATGTCAAAGGGGGAGGTTTCAGAGACCATGCAGGGAGGAAGGAGGGACGTTCACACACACGTGAGGTTTGGTTTATTACTATATATAACGATTTTGTTAATGTATGTGATATTATGTCCTAAAGAAAGTTCTAATGTGAACTGAAATGTTGACCTTCTGTGGGATCTTCAAATCAATAAAGAAAATTTTATTTCACAAGACCTAGAGTGCTTGCTACCTTTATATATGTATATATTTATATATATATCTTTGTGTCCGGGCCACAATAAGCTAATATTCCAATGTATGTGAGTCGATATGGCACAAGTCGGTTGAGGTGTGCCAAAACAGACGAGAGGCCAGGCCTGCAATAAAAGAGGGCAAAAAGGTGATAACAAGTTTATTAATATTTCACAATTAACAATCATTGAGTCATAGTATGGAAAGCCAGTCTGATTTCTTTCTTTTTCTCGTTCGTAATGTACCTATTGTATGTATCTGTGAAAAATAATAAAAACATATATAGTGCAGACCATCTGTGTCTTATACTTATAAATTCAGAGAAAAAAGTGAATGTAGAGGTCTCACTCACATGTGCCAGAAACAGTGGTGCACTCTGATTTTGTGCTGCCCTAAACCTGACAAAACCCGGGCACCCCCTTCCAATGGTCTCTTCCTGACAGACACACTCCCTCACTGATGCATGCACTGGCATACACTCACTGACAGATACAGTCATTGTCATACACACTGTTGAACCAACACTTTCACTGAAACATACACATTCACAGACATACACACTCACTCATTCACAGTTACACTCACTCACAGTTACACACACTGACAGACACACATTCATGGACAGACATATATACACTCACTGACAAGACACACATGCACACTCATTGACAGACACTCACTGACAAAAATGCATACACACTCACTGACAGACGTACACTCACTCAGTGTCAGACACACACATACTGAGACACACATATACTCACTGACAGATACACACTGACAAACACACATACACACTCACTGACAGACATATATAGACTCAGTGTCAGACACACACATTCACTGACAGACACACATACACTAGCTGACATACACACATTGACAGACATACACATTCAATGACAGACATACACGCTCAGTGACCGACATGCATAACACACTGACAGACATGCATACATACACTGACAAACACACATACACACTCACTGACAAACACACATACACACTCACTGACAGACACATATACACTCTCAGTGACAGAAACACAGTCTTTTAAAGACCTACATACACTAACAGACACACACGCGCACACACACACACACTGACAGACATACACACACACTAACAGACACATACACACTAACAGACACATACTCACTAACAGACACACACTAACATAATCACTAGCAGACAAATACTAACACACTCACTAACAGACACACACTAATACAAAAACATTTTTACATTTCAATCCACCCAGCCTCCCTACCATTGGGAGTGCTGGAGTGGATTCTTCTTCACTGGAGTCCAGTGTGGCTGGCAAGGCATGCAGTCATAGGTGGTTGGGCAAGCACAGACATGGGCGGTCAGGCAGGCAGGCTCACATTCGAGGTGGGCAGCGCAGGAGCTCTGATCTTCCTGCTCAGCTCCCTTGCGCGCCTCTCAGTGATACCAGGGTCGGAGTGATGTCATATTCTGGCTCTAGCATCACTGCTGTGTGCGCGAGGGAGCTAGGCAGGGGAGAGTGCTCCCTTTCCGCCCGCCTCCTACATCAGCAGATGCCAGCCTCGGGGGGCCCTGAAGTGGCCAACCAGCCATCGGCTGGGTCACCCAGGACAAGAAGCCAGCAATGTATCTGCCAAGGAGTGAAAGTGCCGTACAAGACAAATGCCTTGTGAGCTTCGCGCTAAATACAGCGCTTTTACCCCTGGCTCTCGGTTTGAACAGCTCCACTTGAGAGGGAATGTGTCCCACTTATTGCAGGGTATCCAACCAGACAATGTAGCTACCTTCTACACAAAAGACATAGAGATCAGAAACCCCATGGTGTAATATCACACTCCTTTATTTTAGAAAACACAATGAAAACGGCTTACTTTGCAAGTGGTGAGTATCCCACTAAAGTGACTCACAATGTCAACAAGCACAGTTGATTCTTACCAAACACATAAAATCCTCTCCGGGTTCTGAGGATCACAATCACATGTGACTCTCTGGTCAGCGTCTTTGAACATTTATTGTGATGCATTTCACGTGCCTTCCTCAGGCTTCATCTGACAATGTCTGGTTCTCGAACTCCATCAATTTTTTAGACACGTCACCAATCGTGCTTAAGGTCCTTGATGTTCAATTTTAAAAAAACATTTAGACACACCTTGTACGTCTTCTGTACACCAGTCAGAATGATTATATTAGAGCAGCATTTAATAACTTCAGGTGCATTTAAAGTGAAAGTGTTACATTACAGTTGAACATTCCACTAGTGCAAAAAGGTATCTGTCCAAATGCACCGTCACAAAGTGGTTAATTAGATTCACAAAACCCTTTTCACTTTTTCACTTTATAATTTCAATCACGTTTCATATGGATAAACTCACTTTTGCATATGTCGAAGATACAGTCACGTGACCCCTGAGATTTTGGGATTTTAACACTTGCATTTTCTTTGTAAACTTTGAGGTTAAGTGACTTCACGTACTATGATTAAGCCATACGTAGACAGAGACATATGATGATGGATGTAGTTTGTGATCTTACATCTGGTCATTACCAAATGGTCATTGTGATTATTTAGCTCTCAGACAGCCAATCAGAACACCGTAAGCATTATCTTTATTGAAAAATTGCTGTTTTCAAAAATGGGTAAAATTACTTTACTTTGCTCTTTCAACAGCACTTAGATCAATGGTGAACATTAACTTTCTTTGTTTTATTTCAGAAACACACAAAAAAAAAAACCTCCAGAAAAAAACAGTATTGTTAGAATTTATATAATTTTTTCTAATGTAACTAAAACTGGTGAAGCCCTGCCCTGCCTACCCCTACTATATACTGTATATACAGAAACAGGAAGATTAAATGAGCTTTTAAATTTCCTCTCTCAGTAAAAAGGCAGATTACCCGAATACTCTGACTCCATTCACAATGCCAGTTCGACTACTGATGCTGTTTGCTTGTAAGTATGTGAGTTATGGTTGTTTTTAATTTGTATTTTTCCCACAAGAGAATCGAGGAAACAGAAATATTTTGAAAGGTTATGTACAAAGAAATATGATCTTAGTTATTTGCTAAAGTGATAATACAAAGTGATTTCAAATTTCAGGTCAAAGAAGCTGAGCTTAAAACATATCTCACTCTAGTAAATACAGTTTGGGAACTTGTGCAAGGATCCTTGTCTCTGAAATTAAACAGATCCTTTAAATCGATATTATCTGGAATTATGTTCGACTAAATA